TGACGGTTGGGTTTCAAAATGTGGCCTTGCTTCTTAGCGTCGCGCACGTTCGTTTCACAATGATTCCTCTCGCTTCGCGGAGTGCACGTCCGGAGCACGTACAGTCCAGTCGTTGTCGGGCCTCTGGGAATTTCTTGGGGGCCCCTTGGAGGCCTCTTTGGGGTCTCTTGGGTCCTCGCGGGGGCGTCTGGGAGGCCTCTTGGGGGCCTCTGTGAGGCCTCTTGGGGGCCTCTCGGAGCCCCGTGTGGGCGTCTTGGGGGCGCTCTTGCGCTGTCTGGTCACGTTCGTTTTTCAAGGGTTTCAACTTTCACAATGATTCTATAGGCTTGCGCCACATCCGCCGACCCCCCTTGAGTGTAGATTGTTTCCGATGGTTTGTGGGGGCGTCCAGGGTGATGGTGGTGTAGATGAAAGCGAGAAGGGGGGTTCAGGGGTGTCTTGGGGCCGTCTGGAGGCCGTGTTGGGCGATTCGCGGCCTTCTTGGATCGTCCTGGGGTTCTCTTGGGCCGTCTCGGGGGCTTGTTTGGCCGTCTTGGGACCCTCTTGGGCTCTCTGCGGGCGCTTTTTGGCCGAAGGGTCGACATTTCCAAACGCGAAGTGGCACGAGAGCGTCTGGACAGTCCGTTGTTCGAACGAGGCATGCCTGTCGCTGTTCGAAGAGAAAGCATATATGTCGGAGGCGCAGAGGAAGCACAACGAAACTTGACTGAGGCTGTGTCGGAGGTGCGCGAGCGAAAAAGAGAAAGCAGTGCAGCGAGGGAATGCAGAGGCAGCACATCGCAAGAGAAAGGCCGAAGCAGAAGCGAAATTGCTCACATGCTGCGTTCCAGAATTCGGGGCGACTTCTTGGGCGACAGACCATTTGAGTCGCTACCAGAAGGAACACCCTCGGAAGAAGAAAGGAGCGAGAGTAGTGTGCGAGGACTGTAGCAAGCGCGGTGACACCGCGAGGGGAGTGTTCGATGAATCTAGGCGCTTGCAGTCCTGCGAGAAGGTGTTCGCCCAGCAGCCCCACATCAGCGACGATCGAGTGAGGCAGCACTTCTCAAGGAAGAGTTGGACTGTATGCGCAAGCTGCGTTGCCGACGGGCACGCGGTGCGCAGTTAGCAAGCTTACCAGCGCAGTGGCGAATTCCAAAAAATGCCGACGTCGGCCTTTCCCGTCAGCAGTGCCAATGTCGCGCGTGACGCAAAGAAAGGCACCCTCAGGTGTGAGTCGTGCCGCTGGTAACAACGCCAGTACCAGGGTCCGTAAAATAGTACAGCGGACTTGAGATCGGGGGCGCGGACGACACGCATGCGACGGGGAGAGCTTGACCAGGGCCGACCACCCCGGCAATATTCAAGGGGTGTGAGGCCTGATGGCTGGTGTGATGCCGTGAGAGGTCTCACGGGGTTGTCATGGGGGGCCTCTTGGGAGCCCGTGCTCCTGGAGCTTCTTGGGGGCTGTTTGGGGTTCCGTAGGCAACCTGGGGGCATGTTGGGACCGAGGGATTGAGGAATGGTGTTCTGCGGACCGTGGGGGACGTCCCAGCGACCTCTTGGGAACCTTTTGGGTCTGTCCTGAGGCTCCATGGGGGCGTCTTGGGAGTTTCTGTGGGCGACCTGGGGGCATGTTGGGGCCGAGAGCATCAAAACTTGTGGTCGAGGTTCCCTCTTGGAACCGTTTGAACATTCTCTTGGACTGTCTTCGCGGCTTCTTGGGCCATCTCTGTGGCTTCTTGGGCCCTTCTGGTGGTGTGTTGCACGGAAAGTTCCGTGGGGTATTTCGTGGCGTACCCCGTGGGGTGTTTCGTGGGGTGTTTCGTGGAGGGTTTCATGGGGTGTTTCGTTGGGTATCCCGTGTAGTGTTTCGTGTGTGTGTGTGTGTGTCGTGGGATGTTTCGTGTGGTGTTGCGTGAAGTGTTTTGTGTTATGTTACGTTTGTTTTTTTGTGGGGTGTTTCGTGGGGCGCTCCGTGTGGCGTTGACCCTTGGTGCCTGGAATGCGGGCTGGAAGGGACACGCTTCCCCTGGTGCCACTTGAGGCACACCGGGCGAAACGGGGAGAGGGAGGAAGAGTTGGAGGATGAAAAGGAGGGGGAGGACGGGGAGGAGGAGGAAGAGGAGGAGGAGGAGGAGGAGGAGGAGGAGGAGGAGGAGGAGGAGGAGGACGATGAATCGGATATGGCGGTGAAGAAGGCGACGACGGTGACGACTACGACGACGACGACGACGACGACGTTGGGGAGTCATGAATGTTGGTCGGGATCTCGTGGTTGGCCGCTCGGGGGCCTCCTGGAGGCAGATTCAAGGCCTCTTGGGAGCCGTTTGGGGGCCTCTGGGGACGCCTGGATTGCGGGTCGGGAGTCGAAAGCCGCAAGTGCTTTTTTTTTTTTTTTTTTTTTTTTTATCATTGAGGCACATCGGCGAACACGTGGAGGGGGAGAAACGTCGGAAGATGAAAAGGAGGAGGAGGAGGAGGCGGAGGAGGAGGAGGAGGGGAGGAGGAGAGGAGGAGGAGGAGGAGAGGAGGGAGGAGGAGGAGGAGGAGGAGGATGAGGAGGAGGAGGAGGAGGAGGAAAAGGAGGAGGAGGAGGAGGACGAGATGGGGGTGAAGAAAACAACGAGGGCGACGACGACGACGACGACGACGATAGAAGGCTCAAGGGTGTTGGTCGGCATCTCGTGGTTGGGCGCTCGGGGGCCTCTTGAAGGCAAGTTCGAGGCCTCCTGGCGGCGGTTCGTTGGTGCCTCTTGGGGCCTCTTTTGGGCCTCTTGGGGGCCTCCTGGGAGGCCTCCTGGGGGCGCCTTGGGGCCTCTTCGGAGTCTCTTGGGGATTCCTAGCGGCCTCTTGGGGCGGGACGCTCGAGGTTTCGGTTCATGGTCTCCCTCTAGGCCCTCTCTTGGGCCCGTCTTGGGGCTCTTTTGGACCGTCTTGGACACCTCGTGGGCCGTCTTGGAGCCCTGGTGGGACGTTTTGGGACCCTCTTGGAACCCTCTTGGGCCGTCTTGGGGCGGTCTCCGGAGCCTCGTGTGCCGTATTGGAGCGCTGGAATCCAAAAAGGCGAGTTTCTTGAAAATGTACGTTTTACGGAGGGAATGGGGCCTGTTGTGTCAGGGGGCCCTCTTGGGGGTCTGGAGGGCATCGTCGGCGTCAAGGGGTGGTATTTTGGCGACTTGTGGCCCTATTGGACCGTCTGAGGGGGGTCATCGTGCCCTATCCCGACGCGCATTGTCACGGACCGGGCTGGGCCCGGGGGGGTGGGGGTGGTCGAACTCGCGGTTCCCCAGGGGGGGGATTATGGGGGGGAACAATCTCACACCCCTGAGGACCCACAAGCAGTCGGCGGATTGAAGGCGGGCAGTCTTCAACATGTGGCTCTCGCCTTCGCGCCTCTTTGACTCGTCTGAGCAGTTTCCCGCCGCTGCAGGCATGAAGGGCGGTTCCTTTTCAAAACGAGGCGGTCGTCAAATCCTTCTCTTCGTTGCAGCATGCACGGACGGACGGAGGGCGGATCCTTTTCAGAATGGGGCTCCCGCTCGAATGACGGGCCCATGGGGCACTCGTCTTTCGAGGGGGCGCTTCCGAAGTGCAGAGGCGTGCCTGTGTGGGCGTCTGGTGCGGGGCCTTCTGCGACGGGCGGGTGCGCTGCAGCATCGCTGATGCATCTTGGGTTTGCTCTCCTCCTCCCTCCTCCTCCTCCCTCCCTCCCTCCCTCCCTCCCTCCTCCTCCTCCTCCTCCTCCTCCACCACCACCCCTTGGGGGCCGGCGTGGTGTGGGAGTAGCGGTCGGGCTCGGCTCCCGCGCCCTCTGCCGCCTTCCCTCGCCCGCCTCCGCTCGCCCTGCCATCCGCCGTCCCCGACGCTCCCCTCCCAGCCCCCTTCGGGCTCCTCCGTGCCGCTCCCGCCGCTGCCGCGGGCCCTCCGCCCGCGCCCGGCCTCGGGCCTCTCTCTCTCGCGGGCCAGCGGCCGGGCGCGGCAGGTCGGAGTTCACCTACCAGTTCGAGCTGGATGGCCTCGACATAGAGCAGGCGCGGCGAATCGGGGGGGCTGGCGCTACACATTTCTGTGTGTGTGCATATTAGGGGGCCACATGCGAACCCTACCCCTACCCCCCACGATTTCTGAGGCGGAGGGTGGGGTTCACTTCGCTCGGGAGCTCCAGAACGAAGTGAACCCCACCCTCCCCCTCAGAAATCGTGGGGGGTGGGGGTAGGGTTCGCATGTGGCCCCCTACATATCGCGAAGGCCTTACGGCCGGTGCCGCCGACCCTGAAGATGAGGACGCTGACCACGACGAGGCAGGAGGAGGAGGAGGAGTATGACGAGCAGGGGGAGGAGCCGCATGAGGAGGTGGAGGAGGGTGAGGAGGATGGGGAGGAGGACGCGGCGCAAGGGGGGGCTGGCGCCACACCTTTTCATGCATGTGCGTATATTTATGCACACATGCATACACAGACGCCTCCCAGTGGACTGTTCCTGGGCCTCGGGGAAGGGCGGTGGTGTGCAGATCCCCGCCCCGACGGCACAGGCAAGATTCGTCGGCGGGGCGTCTGTGCAGAGATCTTCGTGGCGTATAAGGGGGCTCGAACGCGCGTAGCGCGCCGTCTCTCGTGTGGCTGCTTCTGTGCTGCGTCTGATTGCCAGATGTGTCGACGGGTGCTGTTGTTCCGAGGCGAGGGTGTTCTGCTCGCACGGGTCCGTTCCACGTGTCGGACACGTGCAGTGCTGGCTGGTTCGGGACGTTGCACTCGCGCTTGTCTGTGCGCTCATCCTCATCATCATCATCACCACCACGATCCTCCCTACCTCTCCCTCTCCTTCCTGTTCGGGCTCCCGCTCGCGTTCTCTTTCTCCTTTCCCCCTTTCCTTTCCCTCTATATCATTTCCCTTGACCTTCACGTTCCCTTTCCGGTTGCCCTTGCCCTTGCCCTTGTCGTCGCCTTTGTCTTTGCCCTGGCCCTTCCCCTTCTTCCCCTTCCCCCTGCCCGCTTTTACCTTTCTCTCTTCACCCTTCCCGCTTTCCCTTCCCCCTCTCCCCTTCCCCTTCCCCCCTCTCCCTTTCCTTTATTCACTTCCCCACTTCCTCCTTTCCTGTTCCATTTTCCATCGCCTTTTTCATTCACCCTTTTAACGTTTTCCTTGGGGCTGTCTTGGGGGTATCCTGGGGCTGTTTGGGGCATATCTTGGGGCCTGCCACCCCTTGATGTCTGCTCTTGGGCCGTCCTGGGGCTCTTGGGGCACTCTTGGAGCTGGCTTGTGCCTCTACTCGGGCACTCTTGGGGGTCCTCGGAACCCTCTTGGGCCCTTCGAGCCATCTTGGGCGATCCTGGCGCCATCCTGAGGCCTCAAACCTCATAGGAGGCGAAAGGGTTAGAAGGCCAGCATTATTGAAACACGTTGTTTTAACACGGTGTTGGTATCTTGGGGAAGGGGCTGTCTTCGACCATCTTGTGCCACTTCGAGGCTGTCTTGGGAGCATCTTGAATCGTCCCGCCCCTTGATGCCCGTTCCTGGGCCGCTCTTGGGCTCTCTTGGAGCCTCCTTGGAACAGTGCATGAACGCTCTGGAAGTCTCTGAGGCCGCCCCCGGGAGTAGCACCATCTCTGAGCCGACTTGCCCCGGGGGTTGCCGGGGGGGTCCTTCCCCTGGCTCCTCTTGCCCATGTCCCCTTCCCCCTTTCTCCTTTTCCCTTCCCTCTTCTCCCCCTCTCTACAATTACTCAATATGAAAATACTCTCCCTCTTCCCCTGATGGCGGTTGGGTGATCGCCGACCCCCCCCCCGCGTACTGTTTTTCTACACACAAGATTCCCGGGAAACGGGTTTTCGCCTGCGTTTTTTCCAAAATGCTGCTCTCGCTGAGGCGTCGGCCTCATTTCTGCTCCCGAATCGTTCCGAATCGTGCTCCCGCTGCAGCGTGGGCCTCATTTTCGGATCGGTGTTTGGCCTCCGTCGTTCAGGATGGCGTTCTCGCCCCAGCGCGGGCCTCTTTCTCGCGCGCCCATCCGCCCGCCACCACCGCGCCGCACCACCACCACCACCACCACCACCACCACCACCACCACCACCACCACCACCACCACCACCACCACCACCACCACCACCACCACCCCACCACCACCACCACCACCACCACCACCACCACCACCACCAACCACATCACAACCACCACCAGCACACCACCACCACCAGCACCACCACCACACCAGCACCACACCACCACCTCCACACCACCCACCACCACCACCACCACCACCACCACCACCACCACCACCACCACCACCACCACCACCACAACCACAACCACAACCACAACCACAACCACGCACACACGCACGCACGCACGCACGCGCACCACCACCCACTACGCACGCGCGCGCGGAGCCACAGGTCCGCTACGACACGCGTCCGCGGATAGAGAAAATCAGCGCCATGGTAAGGGATGGGAGGGAGGGGTAGGACGTCAGATATGACGCGAGCGCACCTAGCTTGCCTTTTCCCTTCCCTCTTCTCCCTTCGCCCTTTTCCCCTCTTCCCCCTTTCCGCCGTCCCCGTTCTCTTTTTATTTGTTCCTCACCCTTCTCACCTCCCTCTTTTTTTCCTTTCCCAGCTCCCGCTCCCTCTATCCCCATTTGCCAATGCCTTCTTTCTCCTTTCCACTTTCTTCCTTCTCCGTTTTCGCAGGTCCTTTTTCCTTCTTGTTGTGGCCTCTGGCCAGTGCCGCCGATCTGGGGCGCTCCGGATGATGATGATGATGATGATGCTGATGATGATGATGATGATGATGATGATGATGATGATGATGATGATGATGATGCTGATGCTGATGCTGATGCTGATGCTGATGCTGATGCTGATGCTGATGACGATGATGATGATGATGATGATGCTGATGATGATGATGATGATGATTATGATGATGATGATTATTATTCTGATGATGATGATGATGATGATGATGATGATGATGATGATGATGATGATGATGATGATGATGATGTGACGATGGTGATGGTGGTGATGGAGATGGTGATGATTCTGGCCCCCCCCCAACGCCCCTCCTCTCTCCTGTCCCCCCCCTTTCTCCTGTCCCCTCCCCCCCCCTCTCTCCTTTCCCCTCCACAATTACTCAATATGAATACTACTCTCCCCCTTCCCCTGATGACGGTTTGAAAGTGCTCGACCCCCCCCGCGTATTGTTTTTTTACACAGGTTTCCCCGGAGTTGGGTTTTCGCTGGCATTTTTTTTCAAAATGCTGCTCTCGCTGAGGCGCCGGCCTCATTTTCGGGCCCCGCTCGTTCCGAATCGTGCTCCCGCTGCAGCGCTGGCCTCATTTCCGTGCTTCCGCTCGTTCCGAATCGTGCTCCCGCTGCAGCGCTGGCCTCATTTCCGCGCTTCCGCTCGTTTCGACTCGTGCTCCCGCTGCAGCGCTGGCGTCATTTCCCGTGCCATGCCACGGCATGCAATGCAATGCTAGGTTGATGCTACGCTTTGCGGTGCTCTTCTACGCCATGCCATGCCGTGCTCTACAATGCATCGCGCACCCTTTCGGGATCATTGCCCTGCTCGACATCCGACTGTGCGAGTAGAGAGGGGATCTACGCCATGGTAAGGGATGGGAGGGAGGGGTAGGATGTCAGATATGACGCGAGCGCACCTAGCTTGCCCTCCCCCCCTCTCTCCTTTCCCCCCCCCTCTCTCTCTGTCCACCCCCCTCCTTTCTCCCCCCCCTCTCCCGTCCCCCCCCCCTCTCTCCTGTCCCCCCCCTCTCTCCTGTCCCCCCCCTCTCCTTTCCCCCCCCCCTCTGTCCTGTCCCCCCCCCCTCCCTCCTCCGCCCCCCTTCCCCCCTTTCTACAATTATTCAATATGAATACTATTCTCCCTCTTCCCTGATAACGTCTTGGGAATATTCCCCCCCTCCCGCGTACTGTTTTTTTTACACACAGGTTTTCCCCGGAGTTGGGTTTTCGCCTGGCATTTTTTTTTTGTTTTTGTTTTCAAAATGCTGCTCTCGCTGAGGCGCCGGCCTCATTTTCGGGCCCCGCTCGTTCCGAATCGTGCTCCCGCTGCAGCGCTGCATCGTTTCCGCCGGCGCCCCGGGCCGGACGCCCGAGCTGGCGCCCGGGCCGGCGCCCGGGCCGGGTCTGGAGCTAGTTCCGGCCGGCGCTGGAAAATCGCGTTCTGGGGCGGCGCCGAAAAAAGGCCATTCTAATACACATTTTTCTTGTGAAAATGCTGAATTTCATCTTCCGGCGCCAGGGAGGCCTCCCGGGCCGATTCCGACGCCCAGGCCGGCGCCCGAGAAGGCGCCCGGGCCGGACGCCCGAGCTGGCGCCCGGGCCGGCGCCCGGGCCGGGTCTGGAGCTAGTTCCGGCCGGCGCTGGAAAATCGCGTTCTGGGGCGGCGCCGAAAAAAGGCCATTCTAATACACATTTTTCTTGTGAAAATGCTGAATTTCATCTTCCGGCGCCAGGGAGGCCTCCCGGGCCGATTCCGACGCCCAGGCCGGCGCCCGAGAAGGCGCCCGGGCCGGACGCCCGAGCTGGCGCCCGGGCCGGTGCCCGGGCCGGGTCTGGAGCCGGTTCCGGCCGGCGCCGGAAAATCGAGTTCCGAGGCGGCGCCGAAAAAAAACAATTCCAATACAATTTTTTCTTTTGAAGATGCTGAATTTCTGCCTCAGGCGCCTGGGAAAGCCTTCCCCGGAGTTAGGTTTTCGTTTTTTTTTTGTTGTTTTGTTTTTGTTTTTGTTTTTGTTTTGTTTTTTTGTTTCTTGCTTTTTGTTTTGTTTTGTTTTTTCTTTCTCCCCCCAAAGTGCTGCTCTCGCTCAGGCGCCGGCCTCATTTTCGGGCCCCGCTCGTTCCGAATCGTGCTCCCGCTGCAGCGCTGGCCTCATTTCCGCGCTTCCGCTCGTTTCGACTCGTGCTCCCGCTGCAGCGCTGGCGTCATTTCTCGTGCCATGCCACGGCATGCAATGCAATGCCAGGTTGATTCTACGCTTCGCGGTGCTCTTCTACGCCATGCCATGCCGTGCTCTACAATGCATCGCGTACCCTTTGGGGGTTATCGCCCTGCTTGACATCCGACTGTGCGAGTAGAGAAGGGATCTGCGCCATGGTAAGGGATGGGAGGGAGGGGTAGGATGCCAAATATGACGCGAGCGCACCTAGCTTGCCTGTCCCCCCCCTCCCCCCCCTCTCTCCTGTCCAGCCCCCCCCCTCTCCCCCCCCTTTTTCCTGTCCCCCCCCTTCCTCTCTCCTGTCCCCCCCCCCTTTCTCCTGTCCCCCCCCCCTCTTTCCTTCCCCCTCCCCTCCCCCACCTTTTTTCCAGGACGCAGTGCAGGGGGGGGCGGGGGAGCTGGGGGAAAGAGAAGGTGAGGAAGAGGGAATGGGAATGGGAATGCCTGAAGAGTAAGTCTTACAAATCCATGCTACTCCGCTCACTGACCGCCTCCAGCGACACGAGGAGAAACAAGAGGACGGCGACCATGCAATACTCCACGCGCTGCATGTAGGCTGCACCATACGGGCGGCAAACCGACTTGGAGACCATACCGGAGTAGGGGAAATTCCCGCGTGCACCCCAGGGACGACCTCACGACCTTTTCGATAAGACAGCCTGTACGAGCGACTGCAGCCACGACCGACTGAAGCATATACCCCGCACTCATGAATGCCAGCAAGCCACGAAGCCCACTTTTAAGCAGGGGAATAACATGACTCCCACGTACACCCAAAAGCGAAACCACCAAACCATTGCCGAAACATGCGCAAGTGACTGACAAGGATACGCAACACTGCATTCACAAATGGCCACAATCTTGAAAGATGCAGAGCGGTACCGCCGATCACCAGGGCTTTCAAACTGACCATTGAAATAATAAACGCAGCATGTGAAGGTATAGCAGGTACAATAAGTGCCGCAAGACCCTGTGGGAATGAACCCTGTGGGTATCCCATGGGCACAAAAAAAAACAACTCGTACATATATTGAAATATACAAGCTTGGCCACCATACG